TTTTTTTCCAGTGAAAGGGTCACTTCCAATTGGACCAGACGCTTATGGGGTCCTAACCCTCATCAGCTTTCGACCGATACAATTATTGCCACAGCACCACCGCCGTCTAGGTACTATTCTTTTTACAGAGATTTCACCCTCTAAAATCATCTTCTGTACTCAAACCGAGTTTTTAAGACCGTCATATTTGCCACCTTTGGTCGATGCCCGCCCGAAACCACAGCTCACTTCTATCCGGTCGATCGACTTCGATATACCACGTTAGTGCAGTAAGATTTCACAGAATTCTTTCCGCTTCTCTTGCCTTACTGCTCCTCTTCAGAACTTGAGAAAAGCCCATCAAGTCAGTCCATTGAAACACCTCGTCATTCACCAAGTTCTGTGACGAAGGATGAGGCTACCACGTCGAAGCCATCTGCTGAGGAATCCAAAATGTCTCCAAAAGAAGGTAATTCTACATGAATATTGAGATGATAAAGTAGAGCGCACTGGTTAATAGTATGGGATGCTCCCCGCATTCAACTTCCACTAAGAATAGAGGCGACGTTTGAATGCTTATCTGGCCTATAGAATGATTTGAGGTTACCAGACGGTGCGCAAGTCAGTGTTTTTATCCCCCTAGACAAGTCTTATACCAATTGAGCGATCACGGAAGGATGGAAGGATTGGTAAACTCAAGCGGATATCAATCCAAATTCGAACCTGTGAGCGTGGATGTGTGCGCCACTTCCCACACCAGTCCCGCACTGATTTCTGTTATCCATCTTAAAGGGGTGGATGAATGTTGGCCTGGATGAGTACAGAGCCATGATTCGATCCAATGGACCATGCATGTGGTAGTATGAAATCTGGCATTAGCTCCTGTCGCTCTCCAGATTGAACATTCAAGTGTTAAAGTGTGGTCAGAGGAAAAAAAAGAACAAATCGTTTCAACATTTTATTCTTCTACGAGAAAGTAAAGCTCTTCGGGTCACTTCGTTGATGCTATATTTGCTTGGGAATATAAACACACTTAAGTGAACATATGCTGACATTCCAAGCTCGAGCGTAGTTTATTAATCTCCAAATGAATTTGCTCTTCGATTTTTAATACCGATCGAGTTGGTTCTCTCCCAAGAAAAAAAAACTTCGTGATTCTTTAGGAAGGAAGTGGATTCTAGTTCACCGAAAAGGGAAGAAGCAAATAAGTTGTTTTAACTCTTCTCCCAGACGACCAGAATTCTTTTGGTTGCCCTGAAGCTCAAAAGTAGGGCTAGGGAATCAGTGAAAAATTAAATCCCTTAAATAAATTACATACTTATAAGGTATTTGTAAGGGGTAGAATGTTAGGAATAAAACTCGGGAAGAAGTCATATCTAGTATTCAGAGTTGTCCAAATTGGCGCAAGCTGAAGACGATTTCGTAAAAGAAGAAAAAGTCTGCGGACTACTTGGAACCGGTCCGCTAAAATGTACTCCTGTAAAGTAGGGAAGGCCTGAGATGGAGCCCGAATAAGTGACCGCTGACATGTGTACAGTTAGGGGATCCAATTCCGTTGCATACCCCTTCCGGGCTTGGTGAAACCTTCCATGCCTTCGATGTCGGTCATTTTGTGCCAGTCCACCTGAAAGAATCAAAAAAGCGTTCGTCTTTGCCAACCGCAATAAGTCATATAGATAATCAATATCACCACAAATCTGAATAGAACTCGAATACGTGGCGCATCTCGAATGGGATTAAGCGGACTACTGGTTGGGCAAAGGAACAACACCATTAACAAATAACAAACAAAAAGTGTAAATCGCTTGATAAATTCCAAAGTGTTTGATATGCTTCATAAGCTTCCCATTCACATGAAACCATTAAAAGACCCTATACTATGATATGCTTATTTCAACTGCTTTCAGTAGAAGAACTCAGCGATATCGAGTCGATCAGTGGAATCGATCAATTGTTAGAATCGGACCGATCAGGCAGCATATCATTTTAAAGATTTGATCGAATAAGTTTGTCGTAATTCTAAGTTATGATACAATCATATAAAAAGTTTGTACAGTGTATGTTATAGTACTGTCACACTAAATGTACATCTTGAAAAAGTCAATAAAGCCATAATTTTGAATTGTTCGTGGATAACTCCAGTCGAATCAACAAGAACAGTTTGTCTTTGTTGTGTGTTCGAAAGCCATAGTGGTAATCGATATATGGCCCTAATGCACAACCGGTGTTTCATCTGCATTGGTTTCATCATGTCCCCTTCAACTTTCTTCTAATTTCACTACAGAACCGGTATTAATGGCAATTTATTGCCGATTAAGGTCCTCCATATTGGAATCGCTCCCCCAAGAAGAGCTTTATGGTTGTAGACCAATTTGTAGTGACAATAAAGGAGACATCTACAAAAGACTTAGATTGCTAACTGTAGGAAACCAGTTAACCCGGCTTCCTTCTGAAACCTTCCTACGAATTCTTCACAAGTATTACTCCCACGTTTTCGCTGAGTCTTCAAGGTGGACATGCCTGATCTTGAGGTCATATGACAGAGCCGCTCACAGCACGTTCACGGGACTCCTCCAGTTCGTATATCCTGAATTTCAAAGCGGCTTCAATTCGCTCTGTCAGCTTATAATCATTTGCAGCTTACTACAAAAGATAACAGCCTATGGTAAAATCTGACCATTTTTAGTGGGATCGGGTACCGAGTAGTGCAGCCAAACTATACAAAGCTTTTTTGACCGACTTCTTGAAATGAGCATTGTTCGTAAAGGAAAAAGCTTATTTGGTAAGGGACAACTAGCTGGTAGTCCAACAACCAAGGATTCCTAAAATAGGCGTGACTATGCCGACTACGACCCAACCCAGCTACAGTACACTCTATTCAATTATTTATTGCCTCACATGAAATTCATGAATAATTCGGTACTTATCGGTGTCGTGTTTCACTCGATGGTTCCAGATTAGGTTTTCATTCAAATTATTGATTTTGTCGAAAATCATGAATTCGTAGAACTTTCACAAGCGTTAGGTCGTTCGATCGATTCTGCATTTTTATGGCTCCACGTTTCCGTAGATTAGCGACTCACGTTACTTCAGTTTTCACAGGTTTACTTGATCGTAAAATGATTTAGACATCCTATAAAAGTTCATTTTTTCAAGGTTTTGATTAGCTTATTCGAGGCTTATGATGAAAGTCTCATTCGATGAACATGCACTTGCAAGGGATAAAGCTTTTACTGCTGAATCAGATCATTCTTTGTTTCTGTCATCTAATCCTTTTTCTAGTGGTACACTACGGCAAATGAATACCAGCGTTCTGACTAGATAAATAAGTAGCATGTGGCAAGCCCCATCTGAATTTGGGCTTGAAACAGGTCTGGGAGCTCCACTACAGTGCTTTGCACGAAGGTGTCATATATTTTATCGCCTCTGCTCAGCTTATTTCAAAGGCATTCAGATAAAAAGCCATTTTTTATTGTCAGAATGCGATTTTTACGGTGGTTAGCGTTATTTTAGAAGTCAAAGTTTAGAAACTGAGACTAGCTTCATTTGAGCTGGTTGTGTCGTAAAGTTATTCGAAATACAGGAGCAGGTAAACACGCGGTAGCTTGATTATAAGAAGATATTTCTCATTGTATGGTAGTCTCTTTTCATTTGCCATGTTTCAAAAAACTGTGGACTTCCAAATAAACACAAAAGTTAAATGGTGAAATCCGTTTAGCAGCTTACAACTCACTTTGTGGCTTTGTATGATCAGCTGTAAAGATGCACAGACGGTTTTCCCGTGTTTGTTTAGAGGCTTTTTGCACAAATTCCAGTCTATTCCTCATTTTGGTCTTTGTTGGGTCTATTGTCTATTGTTTTGTTTCAGCCTTATGTGCTTTGCATTTTACTTCTGAATTTTCTATATTTATTAAACTATATTTCTAAATTTCAAATATTCGTAACGTGAACCCTGTCGTCGAAAGTATATAGAGGGAGTCGAAGGATGTTGTCTGTGCGTTGTAAAAACAAAAAGCTGAAATAGCTGCCATCGTCACCTGACATGAAGTTTACTGGTCTTTTTTATAATGTAGCGATTTCTTTTATTTTTATTGCGATGGTACGACGAGCAAGGCTATAGTGGCTATGGCTGCTGCTCGCCTAAAAAGCGGCTCTCAATCCACCACTACGGAATTCGTTTCGCTTCTTAAAATGCGTCGGAATTACGTTCACCATCTGTTCCGCCAACACTTTATAGTTCTGGTTTCCTTTTTTT